AAAGAGGTACAGAATTGCCAATGGATGGAATGGCTTATAACAAAAAGAAATTGAGATGGGTAGACAAAGAACACTTTTGGCAAATCTTTCAATATGAATGAGTTAAGAAATTTACCATATTATGTAACCTGATGAAGTACTATATTTAGGTTAGACTACCTTATTAGTATAGTTATTCACGCATATTATATAAAATTTTGCGATTTTTATAGAGGCTTGTTTGAGAAACTATATTCCAAAGAAAGAAACGAAAATATTACTCAAGGGTAATGTGAGTTATGTGTAGAATGCAAGAAAATATTTCTTTAAATAGATATGTCTATTATTAAATACCATTATCATCACAAGTCTGTACATCAATATACAAAATTAAATAAAAATATAAAAACAGCTGTTCCCTTGGATATATTCTCTAGAAGACGTACAATCTTACTTTTTCTTTCCATTCCAGTGGTATTGTTACAGAAAACCTTTTATAATGGACATTTTTCTTAATTAGAGTTAAAACGCTGTAACTTAATTTACTGTATTAAGGTTTTTTTTACTTGAAATATTTAAAACTGTTTTAATTCCAATCATATCTACCTCAGCTTTGTGTGAGAACAATGCTTAATATATAAGGTTTCAATCGGAGCGCACTGAAATTCGAATGCGGTATTTAAAACGGAAATAGTATTTTCAGCTGTAGTGAAATTCAGCTTCAAATAGCCCTTATTCACATATGTCTGGTATAATTTGCTTTGAAAAGCTGCTAGCTGGGAAATTTTCTAATAAGGAAAGCAGTGCGATTTTCTATGGTATCAGCGTATGTTATCAGTGTCTAAAAAGAAAATACTGTGGCTTTACTAGAAAATCTAACTTATGCATGTTAGACGAGTATAACACTCAGGATTAGTGATGGGCAACTTCGGTACATTCTTGTACCCCGGTACGGAGTACGGTACAGCAAGTCCCGGTACAATACCGTTACGCACGTACTTACTTGAAAAGTAACCAAAACGCTTTCAAGTACCGATACCAAGTAACGATTTGGAGTACCGAAGTAACAAATACGGAGTACGTTGCTGTACCGGGTACCATAGTAACGATTTGGTACCAAATACCCTAGTAAGCAGCTAACATTTTTGCGCACTGAAGGACTCGCCACGTCACCACTGTTTGTGTTATCTGTACGAAGTAGATTTGAATATCCGAAACCGTCACTACGAAGTGTTGGGACAGACCATTCATGGACAAAGACGCATATCATCATTTCCAAATAAACAGATACTACTTCCTCGTCCAAAACGAAGTGAGCTGACCCTCATGAGCTCCATTACGAATAACGATACGAGACACGCATATTTCGTACAAATAACGAATACGAAAACCCGTTTCGGTACAGAATTAACGAATACGAAACGTATCCGTTAGGTACCAAAAGTAACGAATAAGTAACGAATACCGAAAAGTACCGTTCGGTACAGAGACGAATACCGAAAAGTACCGATTTCGGTACTGAGTACGGGTTTCGTGATGTACCGATTTTCCGTACCCGTTACAACTAAGTACCCGTTACAAAATACCCGGTTCGGTAGTACCGACTCATCACTACTCAGAATAACATGAAAGGAATATATTTTAATCACAAAATACTGTATTCAACAGTTTTATTGCTTTTTATGTTACATAATAAAACTGAATTTATGTAAAAAGAAATATTTATCTAAAACATAAAGTAAAAACTTAGATTGCGTTATTATTAAACGAAATGAACTGAAGATCTATTTTGTGCTAACCAATTATTTTTAGTTTAAGAAAGTTTTCTTACTCTTCTGATTTTAGTTTTCTACCAGAATGTAAATTTAATAACATATATGCACATCTAAGTGAGTTTGTAAAGTTTTATTGCTCTTTATGTTAATAAATAAAATTGAACGTACGTAACTTATAATAAAACTGAATTTATGCCAAAGGAAATATTTATCTAAAATATTTCAATAAAAACGTAGATTGCGTTAATATTAAACGAAATGAACTGAATACGTAAAGACCTTATTTTGTGCTAACCAATTATTTTTAGTTCAAGAAAGTTTTATTTCTCTTCTGATTTTATTTCCTGCTAGAATGTAAATTTAATGACATATATGCAAATTTAAACAATATTTAAGCGGCAGTTTCAAGAGTTTGTGGTAGGAGAGTTAGTTCTGAATTTATGTCATGTAGTTGATTTAGTGACCTTGTAGTTGAATAGTTGGTGCTAGCCACTTTCTTTAGATTATATTGATATTCTAGGCTCGTCGTTGTTGTGTGCAGCCGATTAAGATGTTTAGATAAAATAGGAGCCACTCGACAGTTAAACTTTAATCTATTATGATTGTACATACTATTTTCTGTTCAAGTACTTAGCCACAAATTAAAAATGTTAATGGTGGTTAAATTGTGAGCACGAGTGAGTGCATTTTTGTTCCATTTAGTTAAAATAAAAAGGTTATTATAACCAATCATCTGTTCTTTCAAGACCTAGCGAGAATTCGCTACTTCGTCTTTCAGTATGATCTACCAGTTTATGTTCCCAAAACACAATAGAAGACTCTACCAATATCCCAAAACATTTTAAATCTCCGACTTTGGTAATTAAGATTTGCTGCTAACAGATTTCTTTTTAGTTATTGCTACATTTGTGAGGTTTATTTAATTTGTTTAACCAGTTATTTTATGTTTGAAATCCTTACTGTCACACATCTCTTTCCATTTTCCTGCCTCATTGCAAATTAGTTCGCGTATATATAAGTGAGGGTTTGAGATTGTTAAGTTAGAGCGTGCTCTGCCTCTTGAAGACCACGTTACTATGTTTATGTTTGCTATCTTAGATAAGAGTTCGTGCCTTCGGCATTGCATTACTTCTTGCCGAGAGTTAAATTCGAACTGGTGAAGTCCAGAAACTTCGCAATTAGATCATTCTAAGCAGCCTTTGGCTATTAGATATTTAAATTAAGATTTACATTTTAATTTTTACTTTAAGGTTCTCGTCATAAATGCTGGCGTGTTTGTAAGCAAAAGATGTGCCTTCTGTTTATGAATTTTAGTTTAAAATAAAGGGTATTTTACACCCTTCTTAAATCTGTCTTGCACTTACACATAAGTCGCATTACATCTGTCAAAGGGTTGGTCCCAATTTATAGTAGTGAAAGACGTTAAACCTTAAACATTCTTTTTTTATTACATTCAATTAAGCACCACCAATTTCTATTTAATTTCATTTAACTAGTTTCCAAATCATAATTCGTTATTACCGTCTTATAGGTTTTTCTTTTCTTTTTGTTTTAATTATTGAGTGCTGTGTATGAGTACCCTTAGAAGAAAGCTAAAAGACTTTTCAATGTCATATACGTTTTATGAGTCTAAAGTTACAGGATGTTACAATATCATACGGGCGACAGAATAAGAAAATGAGTATCTGAAAATATTTCTGTATTATCCCGCATCAAAGTTGATAAGAGTAAAATTCTCACTGAGACTGACAACGGACACATTATTGCTTAATGATCGAATCATTAAACTGAACATTTCTGCTTCTTTACTAAATAGTAATGTCAACGAGTTACATTTGCTTATGTACATACGCAACAGTTCTTCCTCGAATCTTGAGTAGGATTTCCCTTTCCTATCTGTTTGTCCACCACACTGGTCAGAATAACCATTAATTCTATAACTTTCTTTTCCAACAAGACTAAAAGAATCAGGGTTAGTTAATAATGGTTAAGTTAAAATACGATTTGAATTGACATGTGCCTAATTAAAGCCTAAATCAAGATCTGAAGAGGTTACAGGAAAGAACAAATAAAAAAACTTAGATTCACCAAGTAGTATTCTTAATTCAAAACTGGCATGAACTTAGACAGAGAGTCCAAAGTGGTCTGTCACAAGGAAATAATGCAATAGTAAATCAAAAATTTAAATCTTACATTCTTATTTACTGAGCCTTTTATTTATAAATGCAGCACAGTTTGAACATTTTCTTAAATCTAAAACGACTATAATTACAATAATTTAAGATTATTCGATCAGCACATTAAAAAGGAAAATAATCTTTGGAAACGAAAATCCTTTAAGCAGATATCGAAAATCTTAAGTATTTTTCGTTTTTCTATGCAGTGAAAAATATTTGATCCTTTTTTTTTTTTGAAAAACAAAAAAAAAAAAAAAAAAAAAAAAAAAAACTTAAAATTGTTATGTAATACGAAATCATTCTATAGCATATAAATGTGAAAATTCCTAATATTAATTAAGGCACATTTTATATCTACGTAATGCCTACTGAATCTCTTGGTTTTGCTCAGAATAGCTTCAAAACTACTATCTAAAGGAAATTATTGACAACAAAAACTACCTTAATACATCTAAAAGTGAGCAATATTTATAATAATTAATATTTTATTTACACTAATTATAGCTGAAATGATTTTTTTGCCATAATATTTAACATTCTTCCTCGCAGCCCATTTGAAGAATAAATCTTAATGCCATTTCAAGGATTCTCTGGTATCAATTATACAAATTCTTCATTTTAATTAAAACCCTTAACAACCTCAGGTATATTAATCGCTGGACCATCCCTTTCTTTCGAATGTTACTATCTGCTAATGGAAATAGTCAAAGTCTTGCCATTTTAAATCTGAATGAATCATGATGAACAATAAACAGCAGAATGCGGTTAATAATCCTGTTATTAAATTATGAAATTTGATTGCATTATTATGCCAAAAGGATGATTGTGGGCCATCTTGGAATTGTCATGATCCGTTGAAAACTTTCTCCAGGAAGCTTTGAAGAGACACGCCTACTCAGCAGTCGAGGGATGACCAACTTTTTTCTTTCCTTTCGTCTAACCCGGGCGCTGGCCGCACTAACGAGCTAATATCCCTTTCGGAATCGTTACTGCCTCCAGGCACTTCAGATCATCGAGCTCTTTATTTATTTATTTTTTTTATTCCTTCTGTTGCAGATGCTATCATTATTTTCCAGTTTCTGTGCTACATCAGTGCGTTCAACCGCGTGGCTTTGTATATAAGAAGAGTACCACGTGTTTTTGGAGGATATGTTTCAAAGAGCTTTGTGTTGGTGTTTATCAGAATAGCTACTGGATACGTTAATGTCAGCAGATGATATGAGAGTAAGTGTTTTGCGATTTTACAGGAGAGGTATATTCGAATGAAAAATTCTTTATACATCCATGCTGTTAAAAACACTCAAATTGAAAAGAGAATTAATTATTGTCTCCTCATTTGGACTTGTTGACCAGATGGAAGAAAAATGTTACTAACCATAATCCAAATTCATCGCCTTCCATAATTATATATTAGTTGCGAAAACATTGCTTTTATTTTTCCAAAGAAAACTTTATTTTAACTACGTATAACTAAAGATATAATTCAGAATACTTTTCGATAATTATTTATATGAAGTTTTAACATCTCGTACACAGAGCGATGATTAGTTTTATTTCAAACAAATAATTATCTTTACATTCTTGTACAGTGACCATCATGATCAAAAATTGAAGTTACATTGAAAAATGTTCTTTGCAGTGAGCATCATCACCAACAATTGAAGAATCGTTTCTTTTCATATTAAAAATATTCCTCTCTGTGAAAAATATAAAATTAATAATTAAGAATGTAAAATGAGTTACAAAATTTCTGAAGCCGAATGAAAGATAAATGAACTTCTAAATGCACTCCAGAGAAAAAGTTTTCTTATCGTTTGTAAAAAACTTGTATTGTTTGTTGAATTTCAAGGTATTATTATTACTTGTATCTTTCTTATTTTTGCTTTACACAGTTAAGCTCCATATCTTCAGTGTCTAAATGAACCTATAGCTAGACCTATCATTTTATTCTCTATTCTCTATTGTGTTTAAAAATTAATAATGCAATATTTATTTAAGGCAAAGAAAATAATGATTTGTTTTATTAAAAAATAAATATTTTTAAAGACGCTTTTATTTGTATTTTCGAAAAATAGAGAGGGAAATGATTCTAAAAGTCCTTTTTCATATTTAACCCGTAGTATTTTGAAAACGTTCATGATAGTATTTTTATAATAACATGAAAAATCAATCTCTAAATGTTTACATAACTATTATCGATAATATTTTTTTGCGGTTATTGACGCATAATTAGAAATAGTACATAAGCAGAAATGTTTGAGTGATAATTGAGCTTATAAACAAGCACTAGAAAAGAAAAGTGCTCGTCACATTATTTCTGTTCGGCTTGCATTGAGTTCGTTTGATTTTAGTATGCTGTTGAAATTAAGCTCTTTCTCACTTTTTCGTTACATAATTTAGATCAAATTTTGTATCTTCAAGGTACACCTAAACATATACTTATGTTTATCATTTTATCCTTTATCCCTTTTTTAGCATGCTTAAACATTTCTAATACAAGTATTAATTAAAGGCAGTCTAGACTTATTTTAAATTGCCTTTAATAATTTAATTTAATTTATTTATTTTACTGCACAAAATATTTTTTTAAATGAAAGTTTTTTATTTTTTATAGAAAAAATTTTGAGTGTTTTTTAAAAATTCTTTTCATTATAGACTTATTGTATTATATAAAAAAAAGATTATTGTGAGCATGAAAAATGAATGAAAATGATCTGAAATTCTTTTAAAGCCGTATCGTTAATTATTTAATTTGATAAAATAGTTTTTGAAGATTCGCGAAGAGTTTTACTGAATTTTACTAAATGTTCAGTCTTCTTATAATTATCATAAAGTCATTGATATAAATAAAATAACTAAATAATACATTTAAATATTTCTTGAAATATTTATATTTTTATTTATAATTTTTAAAAGGTACACTACTTTACTAACTTATTATTCAAAGCAGTAACTCATTTTGACGAAGGTTTTAAATAAAACTCTATCGATTTCAAAGGCGAGCAAACACAGGTCCGTCTTCTTCAGTAGCCTCTTCCCCCCCTCTAAAAAAATTCTGCAATGAATTTTTTTTGTAGAAAGGTTTTTTCCTAAAAAAGAGGAATTGTGTCAAATCGTTCTTGAAATCAATAGGGTTTTATTCAAATCCTATGCCAAAATAAATTTGTTGTTTTGACTAATTTTGTATTTTACATATCTTATTATTAAATATTATATTTAAAATTGTATAGCTTTTACTTATTAATTTCAATAAAATTTTCAAGATTTTAATTGTAAAGATTTCCGAAATCATCATTAAGAAAGTCAAAAATCATTCTTAAAGATGTTTGGTGAAGAACTGTTTAAATAGTTTGAAAGCAACAAAATCCTTATTATTGATGCTGCAATTATTTTATGCATACTTTTCTTCAGTTGGAGACTGAAAACAATTAATGATCGAAAAGCTTTCAGACTTCCGTAATTCTTTTTAACACGATATTTATTTTTAAACTTGCAAAAATTATCCAAATAAATTTCTGAAAATCTTTGGTTTAGATTAGTATTTGCTGACTAAAATTTTAGCACTTGGTTTGATGCTTGTAACCTTTTGAAAAATTTAAGGTAATGAGTAGAATGCTATTCTAAACCATTCAAAAATGAAAAAAAATTATCAAGGAATTTTACTTAAATTAAAGATCTCTATATGTCCCTAACGACTACAAAGCATCTTTCGTATTGCGTATCAATATGAATGTTGTTATACATCAGATATTTTCTTCTGATTTGTCTAATGCCAATTAGTATAGGAATTAAGGGTTATTATGTTCATTAGACAATTACGATTGTTTAATTAGAAGAAAGCAAAATAAAAACGAAAACCTTTTTAAAATCCTAAATAATAATATGGGAAATTTTAAATCGTATTTTTTTTTTTTTTTTTTTTTAATGTTCAATTCGAAAAGAAAATTTGAGACAATAAAGCAGATTTCGGCTTTTAGTGTTTCGGTTGTAATCTTCAGTTTAGCTATAGTTAACTTTAAACAATGCCATAAGACTTAGATACATGTATTTAAAAATGTTTCAGCAGAATTTATTTTTAATCAAATCAGTAAAACTGACTCATTTAATTAAAAATTTTGAACTAAATGTTTGAATCACGAAATTTTGAAATTTTGAAATTTTTGATATTTTACTAAAGATGAATGATTTGCTTACGCACAATGGAAACATGACAAGTACTTTCTGCTTCTCACCCCCTTTTTTTTCTCGGATAAATTAATGTCACGGAAATGCATTTGTTTTTCAAAATTCTGATTCTGAAATATTGTATATACGAAACGTTTTCCGTTTTAAAAATATTATTTGTTATTTTATAAAAAAATCAAGAATCTAAAGATGACTTGTGTAATTTTAAATTTAATAATTTTCCTTCCTGAGTCTTGTGTTGAAATAAATTAAGAAATAATTATTTCTTAAAAAGTAATCAGTTATATGTTCTATATTAAAAATAGTTCCTTTTGAATTATTAATTAAAATAAAAGTTTTACTTAAAATTTGAAAATTAATTACTTTAAATAATTTTTTATGAACATTCTTAATTGACAATATCATAAGGTAAACGATAAATTGAAATTAATCATTTTACAAAACCGCTTTATTTTTACTGTAGAGAATGAACATGTATCATAATTCCAGTCGCAACAAGCGAGAAAAATTTAATAATCTCTTATAGAGTCTCGTTCTCTTTGGTAACATAAACTACAAGAATTCTACCTAAGAGACTTATTTGTCTTGGAAAATTACTACATGGACTGCGAATATTGTAAAGGATCATTTTATTTAAATTACATTTTATTTAAAGGAACGTTTTGTGCTTACAGAAACAGCCAGCATTTACGGCGTAAATAAAAAAAGTAAGAGAATTGACGTTAAAAACGAAGTTAATTGTAAGCTAGTCCAAAAGGTGCACAGACAAAATACACAAGATTTGGCTCAAGAACCTAATGCCGGCTTGAAAAGCCTAATGTCGAGATAACGCCGCAGATAAACCGCTCTCAAGAGAATGAAGTAGCAAATGATGCTTTCAGCAGGCGGAACAGCCTCTGATTCTCCCCTCTAAAACTCACCTTAAGTAAAACAGACAAATCGACAACCTTGTATTTGGGGTAGATTTTGTAAAATCCCAATCGATTTCGATGGAAAACGGGTCCCCCTTCATCAGGAGCAAAAAATTCTGCGAAAATTTTGCTCCTGATGAATTTTTAAAATCCCCCCGAAATCGACTGGGATTTTACAAAATCCGAATACAAGGTTGTCGATTTGCCTGTTTTATTTTCCACGCCGGCGTCTTTACCTTAAATACCTCGTTTCAATCTCATTTGAATATGCCCGAACTAGAAATTAGCATTCTGCAGGAAAATGGAAATCGAGAAAGACAAGAAAGCTAAATTAACATAAAATAACTGGTTAATGAAACTAAATGTATACTCTACGCTCTTTTCTATACATAATCTTTACTAGCGCAAACAAAAAGTAACACATATAAAGCTTTCATAAACTAAAAGGATATTGACATTTCTTTCCTTCAGGCCTTGACAGGATTTTGCCTTCTGATCGCATATGTTGCGGCTTCTGGGACTCAAGCTCTTTTCACAGATTCACTAAAATCTACGCTTCCAAAAGCCAAATCAGAAACGTTGCTGGCTGAAGCAACAGAAGAAGATCCAGTTAAGTACGTAGAGCAGCAAGATACAAAGCAACAGCAAGATGAAAAGTTACAAGAAGATATAAAAGAAGAAATACACCAGAGATCGGCTCCTCGACAGTCTTTGCTGGCAGAAGACTACGAGGAGGTCAAGTATGGGAATGAAGAGAAACAGGTAAAATATTGAACAATTTTGAGTATGCCATTGAACAATTTTTATGGTTGTTGTCATTTTAAGAATTATTATTTAAGGATTATTTAAAAAATTGTTATTACAATAGCCAAGGCAATTATCAAAGGTATCAGAAGTAAATATTGGTTATTGATATAATAATCACCAACTTCAAAATAAAATCTACAATCATTAATTTTCTTTTACCTAAAAACAGCGATGATAATATTAATAATTTTTAAGATCGCTAGGATGAAACATTAATTCTGCAATACAGTGGGTTATTAGTAGAAGAAGAATATTAGCAACTTAAATCATGAAAAATTAAAATAAAATAATGAAATTTTCTGTCATTTCATAACAGCCATGGTACCATAAGACTGCTTCTTATGACTTTAGCTTTTGGGATTCGTAACGTATGGCCATTCAGTTTGGGAATCAAGAATATTATTTCAGTACTAGGGAGCTGAGGAAACAGGATTAATAAATAATTTAATATCACTGAAACTTAAGTCTTATGCAAATAGTGGCTTAGATCAATACTTCCTAAAATCTTAAGCATACGCACTTAAATTCACATACAGTAGTGCCCCCCATATAAACGCAATTCGCTGTAATAAAAAGCTTGTTATGCTTGATGATATTTCTCATATATTATTGTGGGAATATTTTTTTATTCTCGATACAGGACCCAAATTGTGGAACATTATTTAAAAACATTGATGTGTACACTACATGACTTCCTTGTACGGAATATTAAATTATACGCATTTTTCCTGTATTTCATTTATATTTATTAAATTGAATTAAATCTACTTCGTCGATAGCGAATAAATCACAATACAATAAATGTACTCTTTAAAATTTACTATATTTATTTACCATAGCGACACTCTAGTCTTAGGTGGATTTAACAGAGTTACATCTTATTCATTTTATAACATAAAATACTCAAAAATTAAACCATCCGAAGGATTATCTAATCGTTGCCACATGTTCTATTCAAAAACTTTAATAATTCTAAAACGATGTATAAAAGAATTTAAACAAGTAATAAAGAAACAGTTTTTCACAGACGATACAGCGCCTACCTAATGCGCATGCGCTACTTCTAAACATTCTTATCTGTCCGAGTCAGACTGGCGACAATATTTGCTGCTAATACGAAACACTTCTTTCCTCGAATTTCGTTAGAGATATATTTCTCATTCAATTAATTCAGTTCTCACTTCGAGGGAAGACCAAAATACATAAAAACTCAAACTATCTTCATTAAAAGTTGAAAGATATAGAAAAATATAAAACAGCAAATACAGTTAAAGCAATTAAAAAAAATTACAATTAAAATTAGCGTTTCTGCGCAAAAACAAGCAGTTCGGCCAGCTGTTAAAAATGCAGATTTTTCGGTGCACAAAACTAAAAGTTTCCTTTTGATCCCACTCGGCAAAAAGACACTGAAGGTGAATAAAGAATTATTTTACTATTCTACTAAGTTTCAAATGTAAACAAATACAGCTGCTATAGTACAAAAAGAAAAAAAAATCAGGCTTAGCCGCACTTAAACAACTTTTAAATTGCTGATTAATTCTACAAATATTACATGTAGATTAACTAAAGGCATAAAAACTTTAACTGGAAGATAAGAACAATATAATTCAATCATTTTTAAAGTAAAAAATGCACAATTTACCAAAATGTAAGGGAAAAAAATGGACTCACGGAGCCGAGTAACAGAGTACATATGTTACCGTGAAAGACCGAAATCGGAAAATGTCGGCTTTCACCGGAGAATATCAACATTCACCAAATACGTCGGTGAAAGATGGAATATTGCATTACATTCTTGTTCATTCGGACCCTCACCGGTGTATGTCGACAATCACAGATATGCTCTGGTGTAGGTCGAAAATAGAGGAGTATATGTACACGCTGTCATTTGCAAAAGGAAGTGTTCCACAAATAAATACAGTTGTAAAAGCAAGGGCCTATTGTGCAATTCAAAGTGTCATAATAGTTTAAGTTGTTGCAATAAATAAGATTTGAATCACATGATTTAGTAAGTTTTTACTTCTATTATTTTCCTTTCTCATTTTGAATGTACTGTGTGTTTTAAGTTCTTAGGTTCTTAAACTCTTATTTTAAGTCTCAAGTGCGTTTTTTCGAGTCTCAAGTAAGTTTCTGAATTACGGAAAATATAATATTCTTATATGTTCAACATTCACCATTAGTGCATGGTGAACGTCGACATTTATCGGTGTAAGTCAGAAATAAAAGTATTTGGAAAATATTTCGGACATACACCAAGCGACTATGTTAATGTTGACATTCACCGGTGAAAGTCGACATTCTGCAGATTTTGATGTTTCACCGTAACATATGTACCGTTGGTGCAGCCGATTGCAACCAAAAAGTGAGGTGAACAACTACATATCGTATAGTAATCGTATATACAAAATTTCAATGTTCTGAGACTACTCTTTTTTGAGTTATGTGTGATACATACATACGTACGTACGTACAAGCGCCACGAAAAGTTTTCTTCTGAATCCCTTTTAAGCCAGTTTTATAATTCGTTTGGAGAAAAAGAGTCCTTTATTTTGTCCTTTCGTACAGATATCACGCAAAAACATCGCTGAATTGCTTTCGGTAACGATCAAAATGGATATTTTGAGACTACTTCGTATAAGGAAGTAAAAAGAAGATTTCAAAGAATATTATAACCACCACCAATGCTGGAAATGATACGAATTAAGAAATGTTTTAGTTATAAATAGTATTTACATGTACTATGTATCTATATAGTCTTTCAGTTTCACAGTTCACTTAAATATGCGTCTTCCCACTCTTTCATTATAAACGGAAAGCTTTAACCAATTTTATCTAATTCTTTCATTATCAACTTTGCTTGTTCTTCCATATCTGCCTTAAGGTTTCTCATATCTTTCTTTGCACATGCACTTCTCCTTTAAGTTTTAAAAGCCTACTTCCCTTTCCTTCGGCAAGACCTTGATTGTAGCAGTAGGCATGGACACTTTGTGCTTTTCTTCTTTTGTTACCAAATAAAACTTCTTTATGCTCAGCAGAGGAGATTTGCTCGCAAACTTATTCTGGACTTCCTCAAGTTCGTGTTCAAGGAAGGCTTTTAAAACAGAAAGCAAAGCGGATTTAGATCCACATTTAGAGTCCTGATAATAGGCGATGATATTCGCGTGCGGTTCGTCGTGTGGCAGAGAGTAAGAAGGGTAAGAGCTTATCGATTTATTTTTCTGCTCCTTCCTATTAAAATAGTTGATTAAATGGTCCTAATACCTAAAACACTGGTCCTTATTGCCCAAGGGAAATTGATAAACTAGTTTAAAATTCTTAACAGACGTAAAGCGAATGATCGCTGCGTGTGAAATAACTTGTAGAGCCCTGTGGATTAGGGGTTCCAATCGCCAAATCCTGGTGGCGATGAATTATCGTTCCCCACCTTTTAATTCGGGAACCACTTTTGGAGCCATAAGGTTATTTCGATGCAAGAACGTGAAAAATATGTAATGTCGTCACTGGGATTCGAGCTCCATACCTTATAACCTACAGAAAAGGTTTAGAATACATTTTTTAAAAATTAAAACAGAACTTTAAATATAAGTGTACGTCTTGTGCTAACAAATCAACCAGTACTTGTGGCGATGTAACGAAAGTAAAAGTCAAATTTAAACGCATACTAGTAGTCTATTATATTTAAATCTAAGCTTACTCAGAGAACTCTAACCGGTGCATCAAATTTAAATATCGGCAGCAATAACGTAAAGCCGCATAATTACATACTTATTATCAGAGATGACAGAACTAAAGTAAGGTGTTCGCAAGAGACAGAAACACGCTATGCCTTACATCCAGAAACGTCAGCTTTATTCTCATTTCCATTCTGGTGAGGAAACAGAAGTTTTAATAACGGATGAAATTATAAATAACTGTTGAGTTTCAAATAAAAACCTTATAATTCTGCTTTTTAAAACTTGGTAAAAAGGAGTAAGACCCGTTTTAAGCAACTTTTATCAGCAGCGACAAAACAAAGCAATTCCTTGTTGATGAAGAAAAATCATTAACGTACTCAGTAAATAAGATATTAAATAATCCTTCGATTGTGTTTTGAATTTCAACTGCATTTTTATACACAGGCTGAATTGCGTAACTTTCTTTCCTGAATACTAAAATGAAATTATGGGTAATTTTATGACTATGTAAGTGTATTCTTATTTTTAAAGTATTAGTCCAAAAGGGCTTTGTCCCTGAAGGATTATTGTTTTCGTTTTGCGATTTTGCGTTGAATCACTATAAATGTCCATTTCACTTTCCAAACTGTTGCCACCAAATGTTAGAGTTTTGCATTATATTTGAAGAAATTAAATAATGAAAAATCTGCATAAATGTATGTCTATTTCTCGCGTTGTTTTGTGCGAAGAACGTGATATTTAATAAATAAAGGTAACACACAAAATGTTAAAATAAACGCCCCTTTGGACGTAATTTAAAATCTGAAACCTTTCAGATTTTTAAATTTTTTTTTATTTATTTATTGTGTGTGTGTGTGATTATGGCAAAGCCTCGAGGGCTATCTGCCTAAGAGTAGAGATGCCTTCGTGGCGGACTTTCTAGGGGAAACTGGCTCGTATACGCGTTACACATGGGGAAAGCCACGAAAGCGCCCATGCAGCCAGCCAGTTCGCGGGATTCGAGCCTCGGACCGAACTACCAGTGTTCAGCGACTTTACCGCTCGGCCGCTGGTGGGCCCCTTATTTACTTATTATGCATCAATATCTTAAAGTAATGTCATATGCCACGCGCATAAAATCCTTTCTGAATGTTGCCGTGCCTTGTTTGTTATTACGAATTTAAAAGATATAATACCATTCATTTATTCACCAAATTGTAACAATGTTGTGATTATCAATATCGGTAAATGAGCCATTTAAAAACAATAACCTTCTTGATAACTAGAATATTAATAGAAAAT